AAATTCTAGGGCGTTTTTCAGATTCCGCTGGGGGCCCCACCTACGGTTATAGGGACAAAAAAAATTTTTATATATAAAATTTATATTTACATAAAAACAAGAAAAAAAACAGTTTCTTTTTTTTAGCATCTAAATTAATAAAAAAAAACATATTAAAATGCTATGGGCTGTTTTGTTCTTATTATTTTTTGAAAATGCTGTCCAAAAACATTGTGTGATTTTTTTTAAAAATCATGACATTTGGACCAACTTGCCATTAAAATTAATTTAAGGAATTTAGAGTTTTGCTGAAATTTTTACTGGGGAAAAGGATGCCGAGCTGCCCATTAATTCCAAAGGGGTTTACAGATTTTTCCCCTAAATACACTGACAGTGGATATATAGCATAAAATTTTTAGGAAATCTGGAAAAAAAGCAAAAGCAAAAACAATTTATAGGGGACTTTATATAAAATTTAGTGAAAAGTACTTGTAAACTTAAAATAAAATACTTTTTCTGTGGATAATTCAATATTTGTTCTGTTTAAATGAGAACAACACATTTGAGAACAGAAATACCATTCAACAGCCCATTATTAAAATTTATAACAAAAACCAACACGAAACCGACACCAACCAAAACCACTAACATGCAGTAGGTCTACCTTTTTGCCACCAATGCACCCTGACGAAGTTCCGTCAAGGCATGGAAATCCACTAGACCTTTGAAGGTATGCGTGCCATCTGGTACCGCAGAATCGTCAGTACCTTCCAATGAAGTCCTGAAATTTGCATGGTGGAGCCTCCATGGATTGAACATTTGTTTTTGGGATACACCTCAAAGACACCGTCTTCCATGCTCCATGTTCAGTCTCTGATGCTCACGTCCCCTTTGTCGCACCTTGGCTTGTGGACAAGGTCGCATGGGCACCGTTGACCTGGGTCCTAAGACTGCACACACCCCTAACAAACAAACTGTGGTAGCATTTAGTACACGATCTTTTCTATTAGAACACAGCATCTATTTTTTTCAAAGCAACTGACTACAGTAGCTTATTCTAATTGGATTGGAGGATCTACAAGGGCCAGCCTTTGTTCCCCATGTCTGATAACTTGGCCACCCAGCAATGTCATTGGTCCCCCATTTTCCCCCTTTTTTTTTTACCACTTTTGGTCCTGACCACTAAAGATCAGGATCACCCATAGGAAACATAGTTTTGGAGTTGCTCTGATCCATAGTCAAACCTTACTTTTTAGTCCTTCCCCAAAGTCCTCAAATCCAAAACGCTTGCCCATTTTTTCTGCCTTCAACACATAAATTTTCAGAGAAAAAATGGTCACTGATCCTAATAAACCCCACCCACATTTCGAAAAAACCTTTATAACTAATAAAAATGTTTTTTACTGTACCTGTCAGGGGGCATAATTTAAAAATGAACAAGGTGGTACAAAAAGTTTTGAATATTTTGTAACATGTCAACAGATGCAGCACAAGGCTCCCATGCACATCACAGGGAGCACCGGGCCTTAAATAAGTCAGGTGCCAAAAGATATATTTTTCTGTGACATTTGGAGTTTGCAACATATTCGATTCGAGTCGAATAAATTCGCTGTGAATTTAACTTAAAAAAGGGTGTTTTTCTAGGCTTCAGAGAGACTTTAATATTAGTGCAGAACACTGTACCTTTAATTTAAATGCCTTGGAGTCTGCTGGGGAAGAGAAATAATACTGTCTGTCAGTATGACATGCAGATGAGTGCCGTCGATCTTAGAATCACTGCACACTTCACTCCATTTGGCCAGTCACGGGGCCAAAACCAGTGACATTTTGGAGCCACATGTGGCGGTGGAGGCAGCAGCAATGGGAGGCCATACAGCAACCTATGACAAAATGGAAACCAGCAGGAGCGTGAGGAGACCTGAAAGTGGCACATGGCAGAGTGGGAGCAATGGGAGGCGGTACAGGGACCCAGGTCACACTGTGGGCCCAGCAGCAGCGTGACCAGGCGGTACGGGGCCCATGGCCGATATGGGGCTTGGTGGCACCAATATGAAGGCCTGTAATCTGCCAGCAACCTATGACAAAATGGACAACCGCAGGAGTGTGAGGAGATTTCAAAGTGGCACATGGCAGAGAGTGGAAGCAATGGGAGGCCGTACAGGGACCCAGGTCACACTGTGGGCTCAGCAGCAGCGTGACCAGGAGGTACGAGGGGCCCATGGTCGATATGGGGCCTGGCGGCACCTATGGAAGGCCGCTAATCTGCCAGCAACCTATGACAAAATGGACAACCGCAGGAGTGTGAGGAGATTTCAAAGAGGTACATGGCAGAGTGGAAGCAATGGGAGGCCGTACAGGGACCCAGGTCACACTGTGGGACCAGCATCAGCGTGAACAGGCGGTACGGGGGCCCATGGCCGATTTGACCTCATTCATCCCATAGTCCTGCCGACTCACTCACGAATAGCGTGGCCTCCTCAAAGGGCCTGAGCAAGCGCAGGTGTCACACATGAGCTGACAATGGCTGACATCTAAGTTACACAGGGAGTACCTTTATCCGCTTTTAACATCAGGAAATCTGTGATGGCCTTTAGCTGTTCGTAAAGGCGGTCTAACATATGTAGGGTTGAATTACACCTTGTTGCAACGTCACAGCATGAGGAGTCTACGGGGGCCCATGGCAGATTACATGTCTGGCAGCAGCAATGGGAGGCCCGTAATCTGCCAGCACCCTATGTCAAAAAATTTAACACACCAGCAGTGTGAAGAGACCTGAAAGTGGCACATGGCAGCAGAGTGTGGCGATGGAGACAGCAGCAATGGGAGGCCGTACAGGGACCCATGAGAGACTCTGGACTTGGCAGCAGCATGAGGAGGCGGTATATAGGGGCCCATGGCAGATTAGGGGCCTGGCAGCAGCTATGTGAGGCCCGTAATCTGCCTGCACCCTATGTCAAAAAATTAAACACACCAGCAGTGTGAAGAGACCTGAAAGTGGCACATGGCAGCAGAGTGTGGCGATGGAGACAGCAGCAATGGGAGGCCGTACAGGGACCCATGAGAGACTCTAGACTTGGCAGCAGCATGAGGAGGCGGTATATAGGGGCCCATGGCAGATTAGGGGCCTGGCAGCAGCTATGTGAGGCCCGTAATCTGCCTGCACCCTATGTCAAAAAATTTAAACACACCAGCAGTGTGAAGAGACCTGAAAGTGGCACATGGCAGCAGAGTGTGGCGATGGAGACAGCAGCAATGGGAGGCCGTACAGGGACCCATGAGAGACTCTGGACTTGGCAGCAGCATGAGGAGGCGGTATATATAGGGGCCCATGGCAGATTAGGGGCCTGGCAGCAGCTATGTGAGGCCCGTAATCTGCCTGCACCCTATGTCAAAAAATTTAACACACCAGCAGTGTGAAGAGACCTGAAAGTGGCACATGGCAGCAGAGTGTGGCGATGGAGACAGCAGCAATGGGAGGCCGTACAGGGACCCATGAGAGACTCTGGACTTGGCAGCAGCATGAGGAGGCGGTATATAGGGGCCCATGGCAGATTAGGGGCCTGGCAGCAGCTATGTGAGGCCCGTAATCTGCCTGCACCCTATGTCAAAAAATTAAACACACCAGCAGTGTGAAGAGACCTGAAAGTGGCACATGGCAGCAGAGTGTGGCGATGGAGACAGCAGCAATGGGAGGCCGTACAGGGACCCATGAGAGACTCTAGACTTGGCAGCAGCATGAGGAGGCGGTATATAGGGGCCCATGGCAGATTAGGGGCCTGGCAGCAGCTATGTGAGGCCCGTAATCTGCCTGCACCCTATGTCAAAAAATTTAACACACCAGCAGTGTGAAGAGACCTGAAAGTGGCACATGGCAGCAGAGTGTGGCGATGGAGACAGCAGCAATGGGAGGCCGTACAGGGACCCATGAGAGACTCTGGACTTGGCAGCAGCATGAGGAGGCGGTATATAGGGGCCCATGGCAGATTAGGGGCCTGGCAGCAGCTATGTGAGGCCCGTAAGGCAACAGCATGAGGAGGCTTGGAAATAGGGGCCCATGGCAGATTAGGGGCCTGGGGCAGCCAGCTATGTTGAGGCCCGTAATCTGCCAGCAACCCTATGTCAAAAAATTAACACACCAGCAGTGTGAAGAGACCCTGAAAGTGGCACATGGCAGAGAGTGGTGGCGATGGAGAAACAGCAGCAATGGGAGGCCGTACAGTGACCCATGAAAAGACTCTGGACTGTGGCCAGCAGCACATGAAGAGTGTATATAGGGGGCCCAGTGGTGCAAAATTAGGGGGCCCATGCAGCATGCTATAGGGGCCCGTAATCAAGCCCCACACCCTATGTGCAAAAAATTGCAACCAACACACCAGCAGTGTGTGAGAGACCATGAATGTGGCACATGCAGAGTGTCATGAAACACCAGCAATGGGAGGCCGTACAGGGACCCCTCGAGAAGACATCTGGACTGGCAGCAGCAAGCATGAGGAGGCGGTACCTATAGGGGCCCACTGCACCAGATTAGGGCCTGGCAGCAGCTATGGGAGCCCCCGTAATCAGCTCAGCGCACCTAAAGCTCCAGGGAATATAGACCGTCACAGCAATGTGAAAGACCTGACAGTGGCACGAAGGGTCCAGAGTGTGGCGATGGAAAACAGCACAGAGGAAGGGCGTAATAATGCCCCATGAAAGGCAGAATAATGGTTCCAGGCAGCAATCAATTATATGCCCGTAATCACCAGCACCCAAAGTAACAACACAAAAATTTAACGTAAAACACCAGCAGAGAGAAAGAGACCACAAGAGTCACAAGGCAGCATAGTGATGGTGCTAAGGAAGACAAGTGCATTCAAATGGAGGCCGTGTAAGTGACCCTGAAGACTCTGGACCCTGGCAGCAGCCGAGGAGGAGGTATATAGGCCAATGGCAAAATTTGGGGCCGGCGCAGCTATTAGCCCGTATCTTTCGCCCCTAAAAGTCAAAAAATTTAACAAACCACAGGGTTTTAAAGACCTGAAAAGGGGGCCGGCAGCAGAGTGTGGCGATGGAGAACAGCAATGGGAGGCCTACAGGGCCCATGAAGACTCTAAATTGGCAGCAGCAAGAGGGGAAAAGG